AATTTTACCAAGCTATATTTGTAAAGGATCGTTGAAAGAACTTGTTTCTCAAATTTGAGAAATCTGAAGGCACCTTTCATTTAATAGATCTTGACCTTAAGGCAGGTCGCGGGTTTAATAATTCGCGCCTTCTGCGCATGATGACGCGTAGTTAGAATAATCTAACCGTGTCTCGGGACAGGCCCTCACCACAGTTAGAATGCCTCCCATATACCCGTAATGTAGCAGAAAATTGCAGAATCGCTCCGAAACGATTTTGGAGAAAATTAATGAAGTTGCATTGAAAATAACAGTCAAATTAATCAACAAACCTTTTTGAGACTGTAAATACCTTTCATCTAAAAATTTAGGCCACATAATGGAAGAATTCAACACTTTTTCACCAATGTTTTTTACTCGTTTCAAATTTACACACCATGTTGACATTCGGAACTCTCGGGATTTTTCATGGTAAATGCACTGAGTTAGATTTATCTCCCGTATTTTCTTTGATACATTGACAATACACGGAACGCATTCCATCGTTAAACCGGGTCCGTAGGACATTTATCATTTTAACGATAGAACATTCTATTTAGATGACGCGCATAAGTCGTAAAACAAAAGCTAAGTTGAAAATAATTCCTAAGCAGTCTTACATGTAAATGGTCATTCTTATTAGAATAATAAAAAAAGCAATACTTCTAGGAGTTTTCAGTGAATTAGATCACAGGAGTCGGCAGTTTTATCCATAAAACAACGTAAACAACAACCAGTGAGCTTCGCGAGCGTAGCGAGCGAAGCGACGCTCGCGAAGCTCACTGGTTGTTGTTTACGTTGTTTTATGGATAAAACTGCCGACTCCTGTGATTAGATTCATTAAAATATAATCAGAAATATAAATGTATGCACTTCCGGTTTTTCGGTAAACAACTTCATTTTCACTGTGTTCCATCAGAAACCCGGGATCTCAACATTAATTCAGGGTGTTTCGCTTTAATGAAATGTCAGAGATGATGAACAAAATAATAAGAATGTGGGTATCATTTCTATGTAAATTTTAGCGATTCACTCACGTTCAACAACTTCTGTAATGTGCTGCATTTTCAGTGTTTTCAAAATGAATGACAAGTTAAGCACAACAATCTTCTGTGTTAACGATTACTGTAGGTTATATTCAGGGGCTTAGCTTGACTTAAAATTCTAGTGAAGCAAAACTATTGCAGCCGGGGGTATGGGGAGCACCTTAGGCCCCCAGTAGGTCCAGGGAGGAGCCATGAAGGGGGGTTCAGGGGGCGAAGCCACCCGAAGAAAAATGCATCGTTCTTTTATAGGGGTTTTTATGCCTAGAATGTAAAAATCATACTTGTCTTGGACAGAAATTTTGTAAGGTTTACCAGTTTCAATATTTAAACCTCAGTTTGCATATAATCATTAGATGCTGCAAATTTTTTTTAAAAGGGTTTAATATATTAAATAAAAAAATGTTTTTTCAACATGTTCAAACTTCTATCACTTTTAAGAAATAAAATATCATTTTTAGAGTTTCATTGGGATATGACATGAAGTCGGTCAGGTGATCAAATTCTATAATGCCCAAAGGATGTTATAGTAGATTTGATCAACACCGACTTCTCGTCATATCCTGATGAAACTCTAAAAATTATATTTTATTTCTTATACTTACATTTTACTTTTTTATTCTTGTTACAAAGAAATATAGGCACTATTTAGACTTTGCTATGGAAATGCAACATAACGTACCTACAATACATATTTTATTAATTTTCTATGAAAATACAACATTTTATAGATTTGTTTAAATGTTAAGTATATATAGAATCTCCCATGACATGGTTGCATAAATATGATTTTTATCCAACAAGTTGTGTGATTTTTTATCCCTGAGCTTTGGCGAGGGGATAAAAACACACAAGTTGGATAAAAATCATATCCATCCACAAATCACGGGACATTCCTTTTATCAAATATAAAAAAAATATATCCATTGAGTGATATCCACGGGATAAAGGGGTAAACTTGGGATAAAAACCATTAGTTTTAAAACAAATATTTTCTGCAATGTATTAAGGGATGTTGCTGAAAAATCTAATGAGGCAGTTACCACAATTGGAGCTACTCCCCTGATATTATTATTTTTATCATCTGTAAAATGCATTCAATAAGGAGTAGATCAGGAAAATTTACAATGAAAAGGATTCTGTATGTCCAGTGCCCAGATTGTTGCTCCATAAACAAAGTGTTTTAAGGAAAGACGCTTTACACAACAGACAATGTCAAAGGTCGGGGAGTAATTGATATTAATGTCAAGTTTGCGACAGGTTATTGAATATAATTTATAAGGATATATTTTTTTTTGTCATTATAGGACTACAATGCATCATATGAAATGAAATTTTAGTTTATCAATAACGAACAATTTTAGAAAGGGACATACCACTGAGTCACTGAATTATGTACACGAATGCTTGCCTAGAAAAAGAATTGCATATATATATATATATATATATATATATATATATATATATATATATATATATATATATATATATATATATATATATATATATATATATATATATATATATATATATAAAGTCAATTGATTATAAGAACCTTTAGGTTGAAAACCTTTATTCCTTTTCTTTTAATTGCTCTAATAAATTTTTCTCACTTAGAATACATGAAATTTTTTAGTATTATTTGTCATTAAATAATTCTATCTATTAAATAAATAAATTAAATAAATAATGAAAATGTGTTATGAAAATGAGGAAAGTAACTTTTTTATCCCTGATTTCTATACAATATGATGACACAAACCTGGCACTAAGCAAGATAAGCATACTTATGATGTGTTAATTATATATGTGGTTATTGTTTACATGTAAAGTTCACCATATATATACATGCAGTATGCATTTCAATAATAAAATGAAATATTTGGAGATTATATTTCAAAATTATGAGGCATGCTGGAACGTGAGAAACACATTTCAATAATCTATTCTCCACCATGAATATTTATACACTGTAGTCATCATAAAACTGAAAAATCATAGATGTTGCATATTCATAAGTTTTATGCTTCCTTTGTTTTCATCCTTTATATGTATGTTATTGATAATGATTCAATTCAAGCAGCCTATATCTAGCTATAAATCTGGTATATATCTTAATTGACATGACCCAGCCTGTAATCTATTTTATATATTGACTAGTCTTAAAAATATTCTTATGAAATTAAGTTGATTGAAATACTTATTTACATGCAACTTAGGAATTATTTGTAAAGTATGCAGTATGTTAAGGGGAATTAATTTTGCCTTAAAGCAATCTGATTATTAGTCCCCTACCAGGGAAACCAGAGGGGACTAAAGGTTTCCTCTTCGTCTGTCTGCCCATCTATCTGTCTGTCTGTCAAGTTGTCTAGCTGTCTCTCTGTCTGTCAGCCTGTCCCACTTGGTTTTCCGTACTTTTTTCTTAACGCTTGGAGATATTGAGCTCATTTTTGGTATGTGAATGTATCCTGATGAGTTCTAGATCAAGTTAGCATTTGGTTTTGCTTCATTGATTTTTGACGGAATTTAAGACCTTTTAAATTTTTAATGGTTTTCCACAATTTTTTTTAAAAGCTTGAACATATTGAGCTAATTTTTGTTATAAGATTTTGAATTAATTGTTAGATCAAGTTTGAATTTCATTCCGCTTCATTGATTTTTGACTGAATTAGGACATTTTCAATTTTTCATGGGAACCAGATTTCACTTGCCAATAGGGGACTAGTATTGCTATGGCAATACTCACAGAATGCTTGTTTACCATCGTTCTATTATTTCTATATTTTTTTTTATACATGTTATAATTTTGTCATTATACATGATATTCAAAAGATGCAAACATGCATTTTAATTTGATTCTATTCCTACATCACTGATCAGCATGATCATTGTTGCTGTATTTTCTGCACAGTCTCATAACATATAAAATATACATGTATATTCCAGACATTCAAGATGTAAAGCCACTGTTTTATTGAAGTTTTTATTCCAACTTTCCTACAATTGGCCTTGACCTGTGGTCTTAAAATTTGGAAAGTTTTTTTTTTAAAATGTTTGCAAGCATGCACATTTCTCAAGATATATGATCATGCATTCTCTCTTGCCATGTATATAAAACATATGCAAGAATACCATCCGGTCATGTACTATAAATGCATATTCTATTAATCATTATTATATTATACCCCCCGCAAACAAAGTTTGGGGGGGTATATAGGAATCACCTTGTCCGTCTGTCCATTTGTCTAGCTGTCTGTGCAAACATGTCCGATCCATATCTTTCTTACGGAGGAGCATTAGAATCTTCTACTTCACACAAAGATTACTCATGACCTAAGGGTGTGTCATATCCTTAACCCAAGGTCATTTGGGCAAGTTCAAGGTCACTGAAAGAAAAAGTTCATAATTCGTGTCCAGTCCATATCTTTCTTATGCAAAAACTTGAATCCAGGTCATTTGTGCAAGTTCAAGGTCACTGAAAGAAAAAGTTCATAATTCGTGTCGGGTCCATATCTTTCTTATGGATAAACTTGCTGAGTTCCCATTTCACACAGATTGCTTATGACCTAAGGGTGTGTCAGGACTTTGATCCATGGTCATTTGTGCAAGTTCAAGGTCACTGAAAGGAAAAGTTCATAATTCGTGTTCGGTCCATATCATCAGTATTGATGTTCAATTAGGCTACGCCTTAGTTTCATTTATTAAAGATTTATAATGATCAATTACCAGTAAATGTTGAAATAAATTCTGAACACCAATACTAGTATTAGTGACTTGGCACCTTCTCTGAAAAACCTAGCGGGGGGTATAAGTCCACTTTGGACAGTTCCAGTTAATTTTATTTCATAACCTTGACCTTATAATTATAACCTTGAACATTAAATGATTTATTGTGATGACATAGGTGATTAAAACTAAAAGACAATTAAATGTAAGAAATTGATGGGTACACATTCTGCATTTATTATGAATTCATTTAATACTTGCATTTCCTGATAAATCAATATAACAGATAAACCAGTAAAAGTTTTTGAACTTTTGTCAATGATAAGAAAATTTAGTCCATAACACCCAAATTTTTTTTATTTTTCAGAAGGTGAATATTTGAGGATGATTTGGTATAAATTTCAAATAAATCCTATGTTTGAGTCTTTTTTAATAGTAAAATGAAGAAGGTATTGTCCGTTTTCCCTATATAATCCTATGTAAAATTACACTTAGGACCAATAAAAATGACCATATTTTGAGCGCTGTTACCTGACAAACTAGTTGGGGAATATTTTTCTTTTTTGGCACAGAGTTTACTCATGAACTGACAATTCACCATACAAAATTTTTCAAAAATCGTATGTTTGGAACTTACACCCACAAGACTCCTTAAATATGATAACAAAGCCAATGAATATGACAAGCACATATTTAACTGGACCTGTCGATAAGATATTGCGTTTTTTATGTCAAACTGTAAGTGATATCAGCTATATATTATCAATTATCGTTAGCATAAAAGCCAGCACAACATATGTCAAAAATAAAAAGTAAAAGTTTTAAAACAAATACATGTATTGACTCTGTTATCGGGCAAAATTCCTTTTTGCCGACCCCTCAAGCCAAACTGTTACCTTCTGCATAACAGCCTCAGGCAAACAGTTTGGTTCTTAGGTCCGACAAAACGCATGTTGCCCTCGAATCAAGTCAATAAAAACATATTGTCATCTTTCACGCTGACATTATTTTACGCAGTTAGAATACGTTACAACACGAGCTTCAGTACTAAGCGCAACATCCAAATACATTCAATCTATATAATTGATTCAACACTCATCTGTATTTCTAATTTTCTTTGCTCGATGGATTTCAACTTTCTAGAAAGACGTTCAAGCGTTTCTTGATTGGCAAGTATTTGCTGACGGTTTTCCGATAACTCATGAATCATTTTCTCTAATGATTTTATCCTTCTTGGTAGGATTTTGTTTATAGTCTTTTGAATAAGATTTTCAAATAATTCCTTATAAACACTCTCAAGATGATTACATATTGTGCTTCGAATAGTTGACCTGCACATTTCAAACTCCTCATCTATTATTCTTTGTCTTCTTTCTTTCCGACCAAGAAAACCGATGACTGGTGCAATAACTGGCGATGCAGCAATACCAACACCAAGAGTTGCAAATGCCAAGCCAATTGCGATCGCTAGTAATGGTATCCAGAGTGGTGACGTGGCAATTACACCAGCCACATATGGTACTATTGATCCTTCTTCAACATCCACTGCATGTGTTCCTTCTGAATATTCTGTCCAATCATTTTCCATTTCTGAAATGTCAGAAGACATTTCAGTATAAAAAGCAAGGACTCTCTCTTTCAGTATAAGAAACTTTTCTTGATTTTCTTCTGATTGCAATACACCTTGGACATACATCTGTACTCTCGCTTTGATCTGTTCACTGAACATGTTTGGAATATACGGAATGTCCATTAAGCTCATTTGTCCTGGGGGATTTAATATTCGATCCTTTCCAAGACCTGTAGACATGTAATCATAGACTTCTTCGGCAGAGTTTTCAATTATCTTTCGAAAATTCTCCCGCAACTTCGTTCCCTCCTAAAGAAAATCATTTATCTTAAATCTTGAACTGATGTTACAGACTAAGTCAGAAATATGAAAGAATATTTTACCAAAAAAAATTTAATATAATAATATGAAAGCAGATTTTTGTTACGAAAGAAAATTGGATCAAATTTTAAGGTAGTACAAAACACCTTTGAAATGAGTTTTAACTCATTATTTTCTAAAACACGCCAGAAAATAAAAGAATAAAAACATTCTAACTTTGAATCAATTTTTGAAGAAAAAAAATAATTTATGACATTTATTCACCATATTCTGTTTTAAAAATTGAGACATCCCATATATTGGATATTCTTGATCCTACATTAGAATACGTAAATGTCATCTACTTGCAATTTAACTGCCCGTTAATTTTTAATTCCTTTATGTAGTAGAGACCTGATATTTGGATGTATGTATAAGGTCTCCATACTGTATGTACAGTTAAAGTCACAATTGGAGGTCAAAGGTCAAACATTATGACATCATCTACTGATTCTTTTTTTTTAAATTATTTTAATGCCCAATAGCTTCAGATATATAAAAATCATAATCAGTTTGTGAATTAAGCATTTAGAGTAAACTTCTTATTATTAGAATTTATGAAATTATGATAAACAAAACTTTTCTGAGGAAAATTTTCCCAGCTAAAATTATTCTGTTTTTTAAAAAATATAATGTGATATTCGTGGGGATCGAACCCTAACAATAAAAATCCTATATATCATTTTCCATTGAGCGTAACATACTAACCACTACGCTAAACAGCTCCTGGTGAATGGTGGCATTTCAAACGTTTGCGATATGACCTTTGACTAAATAGATTTCAAGTCTCTCTCGGAAAGATACGAATGTTGTGTCATAAAAGTGTATTTTAAAGGTACAGTGGGTCTTCGCTCCATCTTTTTGTTAACCAAAACCAGCTGGGAACGAGGAAATGACATAAATACATATATCAATAACAGGTTTATACATAGTAATAGAGGTTAAAAGATAAATGCACTGCATTGTTATACGATGGAAGAAGCGTTTGGTAGACCAACTAAAATGACGTCAAACTGAAAAGGCTAGAACTGGAAGTCATACTTGGAGACCACCATTAAGTATTGGAGCAGTTAGGGTTATGATCGGGGTTTGGAAATTGTCTCTAAAAGAATTTATTCCTTGATTCATTCATAACTCTAGTACGTGTGAAATGGATACCTCGGAAACTTAAACAAAATAAAATGCAGTATCGAATTTATGCTTCGAACAAATTTTTAAATACGAACGATTCCTGAACAAATTCAAAAACTCCGCGGACTACATTTGACGTCGTCGTTGTAACGCCGGTAGCTTTTTTGAATGATTCATGTACCAAAGAAAAAAAAAAGATATTTATAGAGATATTTTAATTCTGTGAATTATTTTAAAAATATTTATTTCAATGCATACCACTTTTTAACTTAATAACATTAGTGAAACAAAAAAATAATGAAAGTGTTTGCTTTTTTTCCTTGGAGAACCTTCGTATAAGATATGTGGGACATAATTATTTAGTAAAATACAAGATATGGGAAAAAAATTGAATGGCAATTTTTTTTTCAGCTAAAGGTCCTTCTTAAAAATTAAGATTCATCCAATATATTCCTATGTAAAACTTTAATTGCCCATTGTAGCGCAAACAAAACCCAGGGATTCATAATTTTAAGAAATATGAATCTACAATACCTGTCCAAGTTTCCGTATAAATTTGACTAATCATGGATTTGCTTTTCTTGAGGAGAAGATTTTCAAAGATTTTTCTTCTGTATTCCCATGTAAGACTTTAAACGCCCATTGGGGCTCCACCCTATTCCCTGAGGTCATGATTTGAACAAATTTGAATCAATACTACCTGAAGATGCTTCCATACAATTACTATTACTCATGATTTCTGGTGTTCTTGAGAAGAAGATTTTAAAAGATATTTAACAATATAATCCTATGTAAAACTAATCGCCAAATGTGGCCCCACCCTTGCCTCGGGAAGTCATGATTTAAACAAATTTGAATCTACACTACCTAAGAATGCTTCCATATACATATGATTAATCATGTCTCTTCTGTTCTTTAGAAGAATATTTTTAAAGATTTTTTTTTATATATATGCCTATGTAAAACACTGATCGCCCATTATGGCCCAGCCCTATAGCTAACCTGGGAGGTCATGAGTTTTACAAATTTGAATCTACACTACCTGAGGATGTATTCATATTAATATGAGTTAGTACGGCTTTGCTGTACTTGAGAAGACTTTAAAGATTTTCCTTTATATTCCTTTGTAAAAAGAAAAATTAATCGCCTATTTTGACCTCGCCATAGCCTTAGGGGTCGTTATTTGACTAGATTTTGATAAACACTATGTAATAAAGCTGACACATAAATTAAATCTTTTCTGGACCATTGGATATGGAAAAGAAGATTCAAAAGATGCCATTAGATTCTCACTTATTCTTAATCTCTTCTTTTAAGAGGACCTTCGTTTGAAGAAATTTAAATCTCCTTTACCAACGGATGCCTTGTGGAAAGTTTGGTTGAATTTCGCCCAATGGTTTTTGAGAAAAGTAAAAAAAAAATGTGAAAATTTTACAGACGACACACGATACACGGACGCCGGGCACACTTCAATCAAAAAAGCTCACTTGAGACTTTGGCTCAGGTGAGGTGAAAACTTATATAAAATCCTATTTCAAATTCACAGCGAAAAAAGAGTAATATTTTTTTTTATCACTTCACTATATATTCCATATTGACTTTTCATTTTTTTACGCATGAACACACCACAGTTGTTCTGGGGTCGATAGATGCTTTCTAAATTATTACATATATTACGTACGCTACAGTGTAGATATATGTGAAGTAATGGAAACGAATATAACGTATTCTAACGTATAAACCACGTCAGCTATTGTTTGAACTACAGTACCGACCGGACACAACCTAACACCAGAGCGAACCCAAAGCGCACCCCTGGTTCGCTTCCTGGGTTCGCTCGGGGCCCGCTGCGGGTTCGCTTTCAGAAAATTTGGGACCGCTCTGGGTGCGCTTCGGGTTCGCTCTGCGTTCGCTCGGGGTCAGCTCTGGGTCCGCTAGAGCGAACCCGGCGTTCGCTTTCCGGGTTCGCTTTACGCACTCATGCGTGAAGCGGACCCCGCTTTAATCTTGCCGCCAGTAAGCCCCGCCCCTTGTATATTCCAAATACAGTAGTGAAATCGATCATTACTGTTTTTATGGCGATCGAAACATCTACGTGTAAGTGACAATATGGAGAACGTTGATAATTTTTCAGGAATTTCACCGTACATTCGACGAAGAATTATCACTTTTATTTTTCTTAACTTACAAGTTATGTATATCTCGAGAGAGAAAAAAAGAAAAGGTGTTAAATTTATTTTCGATGTATCGGATGGAGTGAAATTGATAAGAGTATCTTAATAAAAAAAGCTTTCAAATTCATTTGTTTATATTATTCATGCGTTTTAAAATAAGTTTGAACTTCCAATTGTAATTGCAACTGCTAAATCGTAATTTTAATGTTTGAAAGACAAACAACTGAATTACGATCTTATCTATAAAATAGCTGTGACATACTGTACATGTAAAATGCTAAGTTTTCATATTTAGCAGTTTATATTTAAGCTAGGTTGTCGTCCATTACATGTATATATGTAGGTCGTGATAATCACTAAAAATCCTCATACAGTGTAACTTGAGTTTCGTTTTACAGATCATTTATAATTTACTTCCATGCTATAAATCATTGTTTCATAAGGCGAGTTTAACGGAAGAAAAAAACCCCAACAACAATCAAAAAACCAAAACAAACAAACAAAAACTAATAACTGGTCCACTGATAAGAATAAGTTGTTTTCAAATATATGTAAATTATCACTTGAATAGTTTGTGTTCCTTACTGGTTCATGATCCCCCCCCCCCCCCCCGCCCCACTACATACATGTACATACTGGAGCGGCATGTTAACAAACAAAATTCTAAATGTTTAAGAATAAATAAATACAAGAAAGAAAACAAACAAAACAAGAATTCAATAACTGTAAACTCGCATGATTAAGTAGATGAAATTAGGATAATAACTCCCAATTTTATTTTATTAATTATTTTTTTTATTGTTTTATTTCGATGAGCCCCCCACTCCTCTCCGTACTTGAATTGTTTTCTATGGGCCGGTTGTAGCGATTTTAATTTCAAATGATTTACAGTGTTCTCTCTCTCTCTCTCTCGTTAAGCTATTTTACTGATTTTCAGCATTCAGGTTTGCAGCAAATTACATGCATGAACATGTACTCTTAATGCAACGTACCAAAGAACTATGACGTTTCCAAATTCAAAAAAAAAAAGAATAATAATTGTATTTCTCATTGATAACGTGCCCAGACGAGGTACATGTAACTTAAGGGGCATCGAATGTAGGGGGAGTATATACTCAGGTATACCGTGACCATGGAGACAGTATACATCCAGCTAGCAAGTGTCAATTAAAAAAACCCACCGCAAATGCTCTTAATACCCGCAATATTTTCGAAACAGGTGGATGATTACCGATACGTGATGACCTTGGCTTCACTTTGAAACTACAATTATTAAAGTGTTGAAATTAAATAATTATGACAATTACAAAGTTCAAATACAGGTACCTATGTAATGAAAAAAATATATGTACGTTTTCGTATTAAGGTATTTTGCAAGTTCAATTTACTAATGTTGGAATTACGTGTACTTTTCATGCACAAGTACGTCTAGTATATTTTTTTTATGTTCATATAAAGTATTTCGAAAATTACATGTAGTACATGTAAGAGGTTCGTGAACATGTAAACCTGTATAATTATATATATCGACGCGAAGGAAAGTGATAAGCATTTTTGCGTTTTGTTTTTTGTTTTTGTTTTTGTTTTTTGACTGACTTGCAAGTAGTTACAAAAATTCAAAAACATACAATGTAAGGTCTACATGTAGGATAATTAAAATTGACAAAATAATCTTTCCCTATATACAAGTATTTAAATCAAGCTATTTATTAAATTTCGGTAAAAGATTAATTTAAAAAAATATCATCGTAGTTAAATGAGATTTTTTTTCTCCAATTTACGTATTGACATAATGCACATTTATTCTGTACAACGTACATTTAAATTTTTTTTTCATGATCAATTATTAAGATCGATAATTTCGAAGTTGATCTGAATAAATTAAAACATGCATGTAAATTGAAATAATTAACAAAAAATAATTAAATTAAAGCACGCACATGTTCTTATACTAACTGTTCTTATACTAATGTTCGTATACTGTGCCTTGAGATAATAAAATTCTATAATTTATCGAAGACCATTTTTTTCTTTTTTTTTTTTAGTAACATATGTTATAACCATTATTATCTTCTTTTTTTCTATTATAAATTAAAGTACTTATTGTCTGATAAATTTACGCAATATATATTTATATATTAATGGATTTTAAAAACATAAAGAAAATAAATATTTAACTATACATGTAACATGGTACCTGGAAAATAAAAATATATAATGTATCAATAGATTTTAAAAATAAAAAATAATGAAAATAGATGTGTAAATATTGCATGTTGTCTGGAGAATTAAAGTATATAAATGTAAAATCATGTTTAAAAATCATATTAATAATATTTTTAGACTGTACATTCACACGATTTGCTTGTACAATGTTTAGATTATAAACTGGCATGTTGACTGGTCGATGCGCTGATGGTCAACGCATTTTATCACTTATCCTGATTGACAGACCTGTTCGGCATGTTGATTGGTCGAAGCGCTGATGAGTTAATCGATAATCCTGATTGACAGCTCTGTTACGCAATACCGAACGCGCGTTCGCTTCCTGGGACCGCTACTGAATTTGGGGTTCGCTTTCAGCGTTCGCTCTGGGTCCGCTCTGGGTTCGCTACGGGTGTGCTCCGGGTTCGCTCGGGGTCGGCATTAGCGGACCCCAAGCGAACCCGAAGCGAACCCAGAGAGCGAACCCGGGGTGCGCTCTGGGTTCGCTTTCTGTTAGGTTGTGTCTGGTCGGTACTGTATGTTCCAGTACGCTTTTGAAAATTTGTAACAGTCACATTAAATTGTATTGTATTTTATACATCCAACATATAAGAGAAATGTATAATAAAAAAAATGCTCTATAATTTCTGTGAACACTTTATTATTTGTTTTAAATATCGAATATTATTATTATATTTAACCAATGCACATTCTAACGCTGAATGTCTAATTTGATCATCTTCTTACGGGGTCTGATAGGCTATTTGTCAAACTATTTGCGGAAAAAATGTGTGAATGACATTTTTCATATTAGACATAAAGAAAGATTTTTTATCTTAGAACGAAATATCAAAATTTCATCGAATTTAAATTTGAGGGGAAATGTGGCCTTTCTGTTTTGTACTACCTTAAGTTTTTTTTTTAATATTCTTTCCTTTTAAGTTCACTTTTAAAAATTAGATATGTCAGCATGACACAAATCCCCCCGCTCACATTCAAGTTTAGAATATATGAAAATTCCGAATGTGAAATTAAAAAAAGGGGTTAGAATTAAGAATATAACTTTAACATCTTTTTCTGGAATTAGTTGTCCATACTACAACATACCTAAGCTGTGTAAAATGGTGCTCACGTACAGGCAAAGCAATGAAAAGACCCCAAAACAATTTTCGAAGTCTCAGGGCGATATATGTCATGAAAATTGATCATTCATTGCGTAACTCATATTTAAATTGTACTAGACATTAATGTAAAGAGGAATTCCACGAGGAATCAATAATATTTATATTTACAAGAACAGCAAAAATAAATTCCAGGAAACAGTGAATTTTAGAAATTTCCATTCCAAATGCAAGAAATGACAAACCAATAATCAACTCAGTATCTATAAGCATAGCAAAATGAGTCCGAAAACTGACAGAATGACGTATGAAAAGGGGTAACACTATATGCCCTTGGCATTTCATGACGGGAAAAGATTTTATAAATCTAAATTCAAATCGTCAAATTAATACAGAATGACACAGGAAAATGTGTTTATTTAAGATATCTGAATGAATATTTGAGATGGTCGTGAGTCATGAAGAACACTACTATCATTTTCCTTTAAATGTAAGTTTACCTCTTTGCATTTAGTTATTAACTCCTTGATTCTCTCCTTGTGGCTCTCCGCTAAAGCCCTCTGTTCTTTTTCACTTTTTTTCCCTAACGCTAGTCCAGAATCTATCCCTTTTATCACATTTTTCAACAACTCGTGGAGGAATCTTTGAAAGATAGTAATGTATTAGATAGATAGATTAGACAGAGAAATAGAGAGAGAGAGAGAAAGAGAAAGAGAGACAACATTTGTTTTTGCAGGTTTCATGTTTATAGTTTTACATAAATGATATACATGTATTCTTCTTTTAACGAGAGAAATAAATTTAAATGGTTACCTTAAATGTTGTAAAAGTCTGATATTTTCATTTTTCTTGATAATCTTTCTTAAGGATAGTTGGAATTTTTCAAACTCCTCTGTTGAAGAATTCGTTTTTTGTGGTGTCACCTTTGTAAGTAGATGCATATATAAAATGACTTGTCTTTACATTTTTTAATTAAAATGAACTGAATAAATTTATTTTTCAAGGAAAAAATGAGCTAAGGAAGTACTGGAACATTTTTCTTAATGCAATAGAACCAAGAGAAAAAAGCCTTATAAGCATTCGCGTCGCACAAGCCAACTTGGAAACATGGGGTTAGAATATGTGTAAAGTAAATCTAAAAAAAAAAACTCACATACAATAAAAAATACATATAAACATAAAATCTATATTGTACTATGTTTTGTTTAATGCCTGTAAGCAGTAACTAAAAATTGAAATATAAATGATACTATATAATATGTCAAGAATTGTTCTGTTGATTTTTCTGAAATTATAGAATTTGACATTTAAGATTCCTCCTTGATATAAAGTAATACATACTTTTATTAGACTCATTTTGAAAATATTTTCCTCTTTTACAGACGGCCAACTAGTTTTAATTTCTTTCTTCAGTTCTTCCCAGGTATTCTTTTCATCATTGTCGCTACTGTCCTCTTCTTTTCCTATGTTGTCCCACTTATTTGTAATGAATATTACCTCTCCTGGATCAAAACATGGCATCTCGTCTTCTACTTGAAGCTGTATTATTGACCTCAGAATATGTGGAAGCTGTTAATGGATTAAGTATATAGTTTAGAAAACTTCAGTTGTGATCATCTATGCTTTTTGTGCGGGTATTTTTTTTTTTTTTTTTTTTTTTTTTTTTTTTTTTTTTTTTTAGGAAATGAGAACTTTTGTTTGCAAATTAAGGATATTTTTTATTATTATTATTTTTAATTCTTTTTAAGTTTTTATTTTACAATAAATAGTAAAGACAAATATGTTCTTTTATGCACTAAGAATCACAATGTGTTAATCACTTCAGCAATTAGCAATATTTTTTTGTTTATTTTCATTTTGGAAAAATAGCTGTATGAATCACGCAGGCATGAAAACTTTGAATTCCAGATTTCATGGATTAAAGCAAACAATACACACTCAATATTTTTTCTTATTCAACAAAACCTTCCATACATACTGCATAGTGAAAAAAAATTCCAGAGTCTGTACATACACCTGTAAATATTTTGCATTTTAACGGGTTTTGGGGGGTAACGTTTAGGGTACTGTGTCGAAATTATATATGATGAAAATTTAAAAAAAAACATACGTAATGGGATTTTCAAAAGAACGTACCCTGTCATTCTGCATACCCCCAGCACTTGCTACATCGACAACAAAAATAAAGGAAACTGCATTTGGGAGGTATTCCATCAGTTTCTTGCTGAGGTCTCCAGAACCACCTATTCCTGGAGTATCAACAATAATTGTGTTGCCCTGTTAGAGTAAATTTGAGTAGCATTTTTATTTATTAATAATTGTTGAATCCGATGGCAAGATGTATATACAATATCCAAAATTGATTTATTCTTCTTTAATATAACCTTGAGAAAAGGTATTGGGAATCCAACGTCTACGGATCGGAAATTTTTGCTGTCCTCCGTTGAGGTCATATCTGTTAATTTTTCCAATGTATCTCTCAGTAACTTTTGTCCGTCTTCTGTTTCAAGATTGCACTTTTCTGTTAAAGTAATTGTTTCGAGTTTCCCATTTATACGTTCAGTGATAATCTTTACTTCTTCAGAATTTCTTATTTTACAAATTGTAGAGGTAGACTCCCTCAGCTTGGCTTTAAATATTCTTTTTTGTAGTATTTTGTTTATTAACGTCGATTTCCCTGCGCTTGTCTCACCTAACGAAAGAATTGTTTGGTAATTATATCATTACTTTCATCACGAATACTGTGCATGCATTCCATTACATTGTATGAAGCGTTAACAGGGTGACGTTTTGATGGAAAACCAGTTTCAAAAGCCTGAGATTTAGCAAATATAAAGAGAAATCAAATCTACAACGTTTTGTATTGAAATCTGATATTTACATGTACAGCGTCGTGACAAATTGTATAAGCGATTTCTACACAATGAAGAGGTTTCCTCTATCATCCTAGTGGTTTACAGGTTACTAATTTTACCCCTATGTCATTGACCACGCAAGTAGTGCCAATTACAAAAATGGAGTGTTTTTCGTAAAAATTCTTGTGAATGTATATGAGTTGGAATGAAGTAATTTTAGGGCAAAGATAGAAAAGATATGATCTGACAAAAATTATAATCAAATTTATAATAATGGGAAATTTGTCTTTAAGTGCGTAGAAGGAAGGGTGTGAAAAGGCCCATGCGTACCCTTTCATGGAAGGGAAAGTTTAATAAACAAGACAGAGGTACTTAAAATGACATAGCAGGACTTGTAGACTATGACTTTTGATGAAAAATATTTTGTTTGGACTTGAATTCTAACTAAATTCCATGCGATTTTTTAAATTCAATTTTACAAAGGAATATATAGCGAAATAATTGATAATATGTGTCCTAGTTCATAAAAAGGAAAATAACTTTCGATGCAGATCGAGTTAACTATTGAGGGTTTCATAGAATTTTCTTGCGGTAGAAGATGACGTAATTTAGATATTTTTTGTCATTATTTTCGATTGAATCGTAAGTAAGCCAGGCATTCATTATGGGCAAAAATCCAAGAAATAACAATCAATGTACAGTAAATGATTGTTGAAATGAAGTTATATGGTAAGAAAACGTCTGAATTGAATATTTAGTAGAGGTTTTAAGATCTATCCTCACATCATTGTAGAATAAATATTTAACCACGGTAGAGATTAAAAACACAAAAAAGCAGGGCGTCCATTCAAGATGTCGTAGAGGGATCGGAACTGACTCTTTCGTAAAAATGGACAGTGGACCTGTTTAAAATGATATTATGAATAATTTGAATGAAAACAGGGACCTTATTAATTATCATAGGTTAGTGCACAAAATTATATGAAAAGGGGTGTGAAGAGACGGGTGGTAAGAAAAACAGTCGGCAGTGTCGAACGAAAAAGGCTTATTTTCAGCTGAATCAAAAATAATAAAACACACTATTGACAATAATTGGAACACAAATCATTGATATCTTGGTTGGAATTTCCTTCTAAGAAATATGTAGAAAAAATATGCAATAAATTTAGAAAATCCTGTATGGTTAGTCATTTTGGGACATTTTAGCAATACACTGCACGGTCTTCAAGAAGGCAATGTCCCCGTACACGGAACCCATTTTACTCGGGTTACAAATGTGAAAATCATACTCTATTGATTTTGTGACTGACATAGCACCTGAAAATTTATAATATTAATGTAAGAGAGAGAGAGAGAGAGAGAGAGAGAGAGAGAGAGAGATAAGCCGATAACACAATTTGTAAGTTTTGTGAAAAGTTTTTTAAACTACCGTGATCGTATAGATTATTAAATGCTTGTTTCTGAAATTTCAGCAGAATAGACCAATACGCTGGTTGTAGCAAAAGTTTTAAAGATCCGTCCCCATTATTCCAGAAGAGCGTAGAACTAAAACTCCAAAAGTAATAATTAAGGTCCAAAAAAATTAGAGTCGAGTTTGTAATCAGAAGAGTCAATAGATGCCTAATGAATGGTCGAAGGAAAGAAGGAAAGGATAGAGTGTAGAATACAGAATGCCGTTTTCCGGCAAAACAGGATATTTTGTGCAGAGAGAGTTTTCATGGTCCCGGATATAAAAGTACTTTTCATTGGCTGACTTAGCGTTGCCATACCACCTACGCTTAGTCCGTATGTCTGTCCGTTGACCAATGAACCCCAACATGGCACCGCCCTCCAATCCAGGTATACCTTCATTAATAATATGTATGGACTCAGTCCCCATATCCACTCCACAGGAGTTCTAGCCCTAAGCTCTTTACTTATCTGCTTCAAAGTTCCCAATTTTATTACTCTTAATCAAGAATCTTAATAGTAACTTTACATTTCCGTTCAAATTTTATTACTTAGTATCGATGGGCCTGATTGGTTTCTTCTGATCAATTCTATTACAAATGAGTTTACAAAGTTATTTAATTTTATTTATTTAATTAATTTATTCTATATGTAACAACTCGATATCATATAAAAGAAGAAAGACTAAATCAATTAAAAAAAAGAAATTTACTAAATGGTAAACTTGAGCAGATTTTTAAGGATATTTCGTTGGCAGTATTAATAATAATTATTACAATAATTAGTTTTATAATAGGGATATTTCAAGAAAGGCTTTCAGTTTTAATCTACAAATTTAGTAATTTGTTTTACAAATTCAATTGACATTATGCTGCACTTGGGTTTATTTCAATTTCGCGGTGAGGTTATAAGGTTTCCCAGAAAATTTCACAGTGCACGTTTAGCAGTCCCTTCTTTGAGCTTTCAAATATGACGTCATGATGGAATATGACATCACTCACTGCACACTGTTAAGACTGGGAGTGTGTCATATTTACTGTCTTCCTTGGAAGACGGTATACAGTGTTGAAGTATTTTACAGTCTTCGGACTATGCACTTCCTCTCTTTTGTGATTGGTAGAAATTGGATGATGAAAAAAACTTCAATTATTTCATTGGTTGAAATGCTGTTCAAGGCAAGGGAGATAACTTTCTGATGATTTAATTTTCGTACGACTTAACAATTTTTTTCAAGATTTTCAATCGTAAAAAAGAATGACAAAACGAACAGTGGAAATTGGCAGTAATTAACATGCTAGTTTTTTTTTTTTTTAACAGCAATTACCAATAAAAAGTTTCTATATTTACATTGTTAACAGAATTGATCTTTATTGCATGCAAGCTTTACAGCTTGTATTTATTCTTTTCCCCTTTGTTTTGCACTGTCTTTCTAATCTCGGCAGCACTCGGTAACATCTCGGCTGATTCGTACATGTACCTCATCTACATATCACAAAGGTGACGGCCGAGTGATCTCGGCTGCAGAGTCGAAGTTTACGGAGACAGTCGAACATCAGTTAACTTTTCACTTAATAGGGTTTATGTCAGAAAAAAACTAGTGAAGAAATACAAGGCCACGAAATTTTCAAGAATTATACTGCCTGATAGGTTTAGGTCAGTATACTGTTTAAGGTTGTTGCTAAAGATGGTAAGCTTTTTGATAAAGCTCTACTTGTTTAAAGCAACAATTAAGGTAACATGGGTCCTTATGATCGCGGTAACCTTACGGTTTGGCACCGAAGACCAACGGGTTCAATTCTCGTTTTCAGTGCCGCAAATCAAGGGTAGGGACTGTTCCTTTACTAAACAAACGACATTAAAAGTGAAAGTCATAGATTCTTTTTATATTATCTTCAAAAAAGGAAGTCCAGCGACATGCTAGGTTTTTGCCCATAGAGAAGAATCCTGCACAAATCAAAGCTTTTGACACTTAAACTAAAGCAGGTGTCCCTCTCTAAATGGTTGAATAATTCTTGAACTGTGTAAAACAACATACTATCAATCAATCAGATGTCTTTTTTAGACCCCCTCTTTAGTATTTGGACAGACAAAGTCGCTGTTCTCAAAGCTTTTTAAATCCCAATAGATTGCGTCACCTCAACACCAAGCAATAGTCCAATTATGAAAAATTCATTTAATGTCAGTAATTTTTTATCTATCACAGTAACATATAATTAGTTAATTATTTTATATTTATTACATATAATAAGTCAATAACACAAAAAAGCATACATTTATCTTTCCACTTCAACATCGATGGCCTCTACCATTTCTAGTACATAATGTACTGATAGATATATTCCAAGAAATAAAGCTAAATTAAACAATAAAGATTCATACTATATTGTATATAAAAATATTGTTTTTATATTTCTAGCAGACAATTTCAGTTAGACTTGTAATCATGTGTATCACAAGGTTTTTAAAAACAGTATTTTAATGACATCCGGTCTTTCCAGTCCTTTGACTCTCTACTTTTTCAGAAAAAAATAGTATTTATCAAGTGAAAATTACATTGCTTATAATAATTATAGTTATATCAACTGAAACTAGTCCTACAGATCAAAAGATTTTCACTGTATTTTCGCGCGATAATCAATTGAAGTGACATAAGCCATGCAATTTTCACGAATTTTGGTTATTGTTAAGGTTGTATATAATCAAAATTAAACCACATATTGGCGAGATATAAATTTTCGTGAGCAGACAGTCTCGCGTAATTACTCGAAAATAAAACTCTTGCGAATAAAACGTGATTTAAAAGTATTGCAACTGAAAGTTTACAATATGAAATAATCCAGCCTTCGTTATGACTACACGTAAGTAGTTTTACCTGCTGTAGATTTTTGATGCCATAACCACTTTTTAGTTCATAAGCCGGAAGTCTTTTATATGTTAATAAGAGGATTGCATGCATGCAAATTTTGGTGTTGGTTGAAGTTGGTTATGACATTGTAGGAGTTGCCAAACGCACCCACTTTTTGGAGTTTTCGCATTGCCATAATGCTACTACGGACCGATAATACGTCACGTTATGATCCTATATCATAAAAATACTTAGAATCATTAACCACAGTTATCATTAAATAAGAATATAACGAGCCTCTAAGTGACCTCTAAAATTTAAGCGCCAGCTGGCTCCTAATAAAAACAAGAGGCCCATGGGCCACATCGCTCACCTGAGCACATTGGCTAGGAAAAAAGCAAAAATCATTTCAGTATTGAAAAGTTTACAGGGAGGGGGGTGTTGAATTTTAAACTACCTGATGATGCTTTCATATCAATATAAAAAATGGTTTTGCTGTTCTTGAGCAGCAGATTTTTTCCCATATATTCATTTGTAAAAATTTGATCCCCCATTGTGGCCCCACCCTACCCCCGGGGGCCCTCATTTGAACAAATTTCTTTCTACACTACCCAAGGATGCCTCCATATCAATTTGACTAATCATGGCTTTTCTGTTCTTGAGAAAAAGATTTTTTCCTATATATTCCTCTGTAGACTTTGATCACCCATTGTGGCCCCACCCTACCCCCGGGGTCATGATTTGAACAAACTTGAATCTTCACTACCTGAGGATGCTTCCATATAAATATGACCCATCATGGCTTTACTGTTTTTAAGTAAATTTTTAAAGATATTTTCCTATATATTTCTATGTAAAATTTTGATCCTACGTTGTGGCCCCACCCTACCCCCGGGGGTCATGATTTGAACAAACTTAAATCTACACTACCTGAGGATGTTTCCACATAAGTTTCATCTTTCCTGGCCCAGTGGTTCTTGAGAAGAAGATTTTTAAATGATGCCATTATTTTTTCACTAATTCCTAATTATCTCCCCTTGAAAGAGGGCGTGGCCCTTCATTTGAACAACTTGAATCCCCTTCACTAAAGGATGCTTTGTGGCAAGTTTGGTTGAATTTGGCCCAGTGGTTCTTGAGAAGAAGTCAAAAATGTGAAAAGTTTGCAGACAGACAGACGGACGCCGGACAAAATGTGATCAGAAAAACTCACTTGACCCTTCGGCTCAGGTGAGCTAAAAATTGTCGCCAATGCAAATTTTTAGTCGCCTGACAAATTTGTTTTAGGCGCCTATAAAAGCTGATCCATTGGATTAGTCACGAGAAGGGGGTCTAATGCAATCGTAAAGAAAAAATCAGCATGAAATATAAGCCAGCTAAATGCCAAAATGTTTTAACTTAAGTATGCAAGTAAAGCTCTCTCCTACCGGCCAGAGGAGAGGATCGTACATTTTGGCCGTAGTTTGCGACGATGGAAAACTCTTAGATTCAAAGAGTTTTAATTGATCATTTCTTTTTAAGAAACTTGGATCTCATGAAATATTCTTTGAAACTATTATAATATCAAGGATTGCTTATAAGATTTAAATTGTATGCTAGACCGTACAAATACGGCATAACATTAGTGTTCAGACGATATTTCTAATGAGTGAGAATTTAATTGACAAACAATTGACGTCACCCGTCCAATTTACTGTGTTTCACAATTGTCGAGTTTCTGAAGCTGAAATTTACCTGAAACATCTTATTGCCTTATCTGGTCTACATGAGCTCTGTGTGCACTGGCGCGATGCGAATTTTTTTGTTCGCACTTGCGTGACTAAAAACAAATAAGTTGACAAAGAAACAAAAGATATGTCCATTAGCGTTTTTAGACTTTTTTCTCCTCTTTATAAAAAATGGTTGAAAATGTTTTTAGTTCCGGAATATGATGATCGTGAAGTCATTTAATAATAGTCGCCAATTTGGCGGCTTTAGAGGAAATCATGCACCAATCAAAAATTCTACGCACTATGCACTAAAGTAGTTGCCAATTAGAGCCATGTATTATAAGTCTGACGATTTATGTAGCTGTTAAAAGAAAAATATTATTTGAAGTTTTGAAGTCATCATGGGCCGCAAAAAGGCCTTATAGGTAGTTTTCATATGACGTATTTTCTCTCCGAGTTATTTTCCTTGGCCGCAATCTTTGTGGTCAACCTGGTTATTTTTCCTCTTTGTCTTACCAAATCTAAGAGGGTGTAGCAGAAATATTTGGGGGAAAATCTTTATAGAATAAAAATTATGAAATAAAGGAGGCTTTAACAAATGTATATTTTTCAGAAAAACACTGCTTCTTACCCCACAATGGCCAGTATAAAAAGTTATATTTGGTTGAATAATGAAGGAATTTGAGCATGTTGACCTCCAATATGGCGACCAACGGGAAATAACTCTTGCTAATTTGGGCCCACTGAAAACTATCTATAGAGAATGAATCTATATCTGGGAAAGATTGATCTGTACACCTTCTTGTTAGTATGCTAATGCTATATAAATCCTTTGCATAATAAATGTGACAAATACATTCTGATATAGAATATATAGGAGCAAATTGACATAAAGTATATTATATTAAAATCATTTTTTATTATATAATAATTATATTTTACTTATATTTTAACTCAATGAACATTTCCAATTTTCGTGGGATATTTACCTGCGACAACAATTCCATGGTCTTCTTTTAATAGATCTTTCCTTCTTTTTTCGATTATTTTAAGATATCCTGGATTCGATTCCCGTAGACTTTTTCTTAAGCTGTCGTCATACTCGTCACTTTCAAGAATCATTTCTAGTTCGTCCAACAGGATGATTAATTTTTCTTCTTGACTTAAAGTATCTCCTGTCATCCATTCCCTTAAAATATTTGAATATACTGAACGCCGTAAACAGTTGAATAGCTTAGATGTTTTTGAATATCTTCAAACAGTAGCTTTTTGTGACAATATAGTATTTATAAATGAGTAAAGTTTGCTTCATCTTGAGTATAATAAGTAAAAGGCAATGTCCGTAAATTATACTTAAATTATACTCGCAGTAAAATTAATATAGATTTTATTAAAAAAAAAAATAAGTTACATGTTAAAAAAAGTTTTAGTTTATGAATGATATTGGTCAAATATGTGAAAGAACGTTTGTGCATATAAGCACTCTTATTTTTTTCTATTTACTAAAACTGTGCAAATTTGTACTTTAATAATAAAAGTGAAGACAAGGAACAGAGATAAATCCCATAATTCCTGTAAGGAATAGGAATTGTGAACAAGACAATGAACATTCAATAAATTTTCCTTTCATTAATGTAATATTTCAATGAAGTGCCGAGTAGCATAAAGTCGAAATAATGACCAAAAAAAAAAAAAAAAAAAAAAAAAAAAAAAAAAAAAAAAATTCTTAATTGGACAAAACGAAAGCCATTATTTGCCTTCGCAAACAAATGTATTTCAATTTTTTTCGAATTTTCTTAACTCATTATTAAACACTAAAATTCTTTTGCTTACAACCGATCTAAAGAGTTGAAAAGAGTAAGCTGGTAATTCTAGCGTTTGCAATAAGACATGATTAAAATTTTTAAAACATTGATATAAGAAAGTATTTGGATACAACAGAGATCTAACGCAAATGTTATATTTCAAATAGGAAAAAAAAATTAAGAGGTAATAAAAGTCTGATACGACAGTTTCGATTTTCAGCAGAAATAAAATATTTGACGTAAAAGATATATACATGTATACTAATCAACACGATGAACTCTGCGAGAACAAAAATATGATCTCTAATAAAAATTTTACTCTTTTAATTATTTTTTACTGAGATTATCCTTAATCAAATAAGACTTCCATATATATATATATATATATATATATATATATATATATATATATATATATATATATATATATATATATATATATATAAACGAACACTTCCTGATGTTGACTAATGATATTGGAAGACGCTGGTGGAATCCAGATGTCCTGTGAAGTGGACTCTTCAGGTTCATCAGCTGCAGAATTTTGATCTTCCTCCTCACAATGTAAGATTTGCATACTATAAGAAAATAGGAATTATTACATGATGTACTGGAAACCAACTATTATTCGCGTCACCTTTTATACGCAAATCTGGTTGTTTGAATTAAATCCGCGACGATTTTGTCTAAATACACAGAAAAATAGATGGTTCGCGGGAAAAAAAAATGCAAGTAAAGATCATCGCGAAACTCGCGGATATTTATCGCACGCGACTAAAAACTGGTTTATAGTTATTTTTATCAAATGAATAGTAATTGTAAGTTTAAGACTATTTGTCATTTAAAGTATTACACTGTACATAGTTTATAGGATTATATCTGATTTGACATAAATATATAAGATCTCACTTTTCCGAGTTTGATTAATTTTTGGATAAATTATGATTCTTTAAAAAAGGGAAAATACAAAATGCTTTTTATATAAATGTAATTAAGTGTATTATGATATATATATATATTTTTTTTATAAATGTAGTGTCCTAGATGATACTCACAGCTAGAAAAAGGACGCTTATACAGTTTATACAATATTAGATATAGAAAATCCATGCCATGGTTTTGAACAAAATATTATTAATAAGAATTTATTATTTACATAGGAAACTCGTTTGATTAATTTATATTCGCTTTATAATCTCACGGTAATGGGTGGTTCGCAGTTTTTTAATATGTTAAAAATTACGGTGAAATGAACCCAAGGAAAAAACGCATCAAAATCTATGCACAAATAACGGAGACATTGAGTAAAAACCTCATTAAGGACCCTCTCTACACTAAACAAAAATGTTTTTTGGACATTGAGAAAATTATATTGTAGGGAGGTGTAAATATTGAGCTTATTTATATCATTTTCAACATAGGGTGTTTGGCTTTTACCCCCAGGAAAAATGTTCAAAGTCAACAAAGTTTTGATGAACACAATCCTGTTGTTTACCTAAGTGGGGAAAAAGCATGCAGATGAGTTGTTCAATTAATTCATCTTGGCCTATCAAAATATTAAGAGTGCTTAAATTGATTAGAAATTGAAGGATAAACTGTAGATTTCAATTTATTTTATTTTAGACCTAAGGGCAGATTACTCCAACTGCATAAAAATACCACAGAATCAGAACTCTATAGTGTGCAGTGTATAGAGGGTTCTTAACACTTGACCAATTTTCTGATTCGATAGGGTTTCGGGACTTTGGCCACCGTGACATCACAACATGGACCGGTCATTTAAAATGCTAAAAAAAAAAAAACACTGGATGTTACACTGATGGTTTGAGCGTTTCTTTTACTTTGTAGTGACGTTAACGAACAATAGTTTTAAGGGGACTGTAGTATTAATTTCAAATTAAATTTGTAATTAGTTTTTGGGAAAAATATCTTATATTTTGTGTGTCTGTAGTTAATAAAAGTTACGATACTATGATAGATTTAAATAACTTGATAAACCTTTAATAAAATTATAATAGGTAATTGCAAATAAATGGTTTTCATAATTGCTTTCTATATTGTATCTGTTTTCCTTGAATTCATCTTAACCATAATAAAAGGTATTATCGACGTTGGTCTCGGAGAAAATCAATTGAAAACTATAGTGACCCGCTTATTTGGTCCATGTAGTGACGTCACGCTAGTACAGCCTCATTATCGATCGCTTCGATTTTTGCTTGATTGGATTTTCAACAGGTAAAAATAGGCACTTTCAAAGGACGATAACTCAGTAAATTGTTGATAGATTTCGATGCGATTTTTTTTCTTTGATTTTATTTTTCCGTAATCTTTAACCTTTAAAAGAATTACGATCCATTTCCATTACCCTTTAAGGGGAAGAAGGACCTTAAGCTGAAAAAAATACGTGTCATTCATTTTTGTTCTTGTTTGGTATATATATGTCCTACATATCTTAAAGCAGTTATATCATTAGGTTTCGTATATCATTTTAGAGATATCGAGCCCATTACTCTGTCCATAATGGGATTTTTTAAGTTTAGATAAAAATATGTAAGTGGACATGTATCTTTTTAAAATATTGCAGAGTATGAATAGGGTTTAGAATTAAAAAAAAAAGAAGAAGAAGTTTCTTCTATTACAATGCATCTGGATAGGAAAATTACGTACTTAAACAACAAAAAACTTAATTTGCAAAAATTCTATCGTTCAATATTTTAAAATTTACGTTGAAATTCAAGTCTTTCATATTATTGATTAAATGCAAAGAATTCGAACTATGACGTCATACGTAAGCTAAATAAGCGATAAAAGATATACCTTCATAAGATTGCCGTCATCAGCTGTGCAAAAATAATTTTTGTGTTCCCCGTTTCTCAAAATATTTCATCATATACTGATTATGACTTGTTTTACCTGATAATTTACATAATTATTTATATTCACCAAGTATGATCTTGCTGTACTAGCAGATCGTGTATGACGTCACCGACTCGTTGGACGCACAGTTGGAGTGGATCAATCTATTTCATAATTTGTTGATGTTTACAAGAATGTTGCAAGTTTTTATTTTTATTTTTTATATAAGATCGTAATTAAAGTAAAACAAATTGTCAAAACTTTAATAACTGAGAGTTTACACGTTTTGCACTTATATAAACGGAGATGATGACGTAGTTAAACAGAGTCATGTGACCATGTGTCCTTTATCCTCTTAAGGGAAACAGAATATTAATGACAGAATAACGACTAAAAAAAGATACAAGAAGAAAAAGAAAATTTAGACTATGATATCAGTGATTGTGCCAATGATGAACAGAACCAGGACTGAATACCTCCTGTCTTCTACCAGGTCTTTTTCCGTATTTGATATTTCCACTGACTGTAAGAGAAAAAAATAATTACAAAGCTCACTTGCTTTAAAGCCTGCTATTATTATAACAAAAACATTTTGATACAGATAAATATATATGTTCGTTTGATAGTACAAAACTGATATTGAAGTTGTGTACAGTCAAAAGAAAATGGAGAAAATTTTTTATTACATTTTCAACAGTGAAATACTTTTGTTTATTTATGAATAAAAGTGACATTCTGTCACAGTGTGAAAGGAATTCAAAGACATATCCTGTCACAGTGTGACAGAATATCAGAAGTGCTGCAAAACTCTCTATTTTCCTTCCCTTCACAAAGAATGTTATAAAAAAATACTTCTTGTACTGTTCTTAGATAGAAAGAGTAAATACGCCATCCTGAAAAAGACTACAACTGCCGACGTTTCTCCAAATATGTTCTGGAATAAATCTCACTAAGCTATGACGTCTCAAACGCGCAACTATGACTTTATGTAGCCTATGACACTGTGTTACTAAAACTCAGAGGAAAAAGGAAAATCAAAGAAAAAATAATAAACAGAAAATTCAATGTTTTATAGTTGGATATGGAATTTTTTTCACGAGTGAGACAGGAATTTTTTTTTCTATTTTCACGAGTGTGAAGCACGAGTGAAAATATTTAAAAAAAATCCTGTCTCACGAGTGACATAAATTCCATATCCAACTACAAACCATTGATATCCTCTATTTATGCACTGTATATTCTAATTATCTTTTGATTTATGTCGATATGAAGTTGCCAGTCAAGAGAGGATAAGAAATTACCATAAATATTACTTTTTACATGTAGGATTTAAACTGAATAAAATTCGTTGGCTAACTATCGATTGGTATGCTTAAAACTAAGGTTATTCTTCAGAAATTATAAGTCGCAATATCATAAAATGCTGAGACAATTTCTATTTCCTTTTATCAGAATTTCAGAAAAACAAAAAATTGAATGAATTACTATGAATCAATCCTGATCAATTGTTTATACATTGTACTAACATTTTGAAATAAATAGAAAAATATTGTAAGTTACAGCAAAGTATTGAATTATCTCTTCCAATGTGCATTTGTTTAATTGTATGACATCAATTCACGAAAATCTTAACTTAATAGAGTGGTTAAATATCTTTAATATCTTTCACATTAACCTCTCTTAGACTAATACAGTCAACAGAGAAATATAAAATATACGACAATAAGGTAAGTTATTTTGCATTTTTTTCTTACGAATATTCTTTTTTTTCTGCAATAAAATCTGTTTTTTGTTCTTTTATTCAATTCAGTTGAAAATGGGATGCGAATTTGACATGCATTTTGCTGTAAGATTTTTATCTGATGATTACTCGCCAATATGATACTAAGAAACTTTTCGAAAAGTGTGAACAAGGGTTAATCCAACAGAAATGCCACTATGCTGGAAAGTCTTTGAAAAAAATTGAATACCAATTTACATACAAGAACTTTTATCTTTTGTTTCCATCGCCTAAAATATCCTTTCATATATGTGCTACCTTTCAAAACATAAAAATGAAAAGAGAGCATGTGCCGATCGGTTCAACAACATACAGGTAAACTTTGTTATCTCGACATCGACGGGATCATCGGAAAATGTCGAGATATCCGATGTGTCGAGGTATCAGAGTTGAGACTTGACGTCCAAGATTTCAATACATAGCAAAACAGACAAGCTTATATGTACATGACTTCAATAGAGACTGTAGCTCAACATATTTCAGAATTCCCTCTATTTTTATTAAAAATCTAAAAAGTTATTTTAAAAATCTTGTTTATAAAACGTGTTCGATCTTTATCGAAATCTTTCTAAATTCACAAAGTTTCAGCACAAAGTGACACCATTCGCGTGTAACTTGCCTCTTTGTCAGAACGGGATACGAACCGATTCGAAAAAATACTATTAGAATTCAATCGGAGTATTCAGTTGACGGTTCGTTGATTTGCCATGCAAATGGAAGAGAGTTCAACTCATCTGCATACAGTTTACCACTGTTGAATGCTTCTATATATTCTTTGCAGTTGACAATTAGTTGAATGCTCCTCTAATTTCTCTGCCGTTGACCATTAGTTGAATACTCCTCAATTTTCTTTGCAGTTGACCATTAGTTGGATACGCCTCTTTTTACTTTGCAGTTGACCACTGTTAAACGCTCCTCTATTTTCTTTGCAGTTGACCACTGTTGAACGCTCCTCTATTTTCTTTGCAGTTGACCATTGTTGAATACTCCATTAGTCAGTGCAATTTAAAAAAAAAATGGTAGGAATTTTGAAAACCTAAGGCAAGCAGTACACATGTGTTTGGAAAAGCTGCCATATGTCTCTGAGTAGAAAAAGTCAAAACAATGGGGCTACTTAAGTGATAAACATCTGTATGTTTACATGTATATTCATAAATGCATGAATATAAACTGAGCTGGCACACTGTCTTAAGTTGCTATGCCTCCTTAATTTTCTGTGCAGAAAGAGTAGATTTAGTCTAAAGCAATGGCATATTTTTACCAACTATCATAACAAGAAACACAACAAAACACTTGATGCATGAAAAGTTATCGGAATTCTTTTAATATTTTAAGAAGTACACAATAGTAGGGACCTAAACTGGGTACGGTATTATATCTTTCTAACATCGTTTAGAAAAAAAGATAAAGAAAGAAAGAAAATTCATTAAATTTTATACTTACATGAATTGCACAAGCTGAATCATTCATGAAAACAGTTGTTTCAATTCAAAATTCTCCACTTTCTGACAAAACACACACTGACACACGTTACTTGATTCAAATCTAGATTGATGTATTAAATCATGGAATTGCAAAGCCGATCTATAATAATATCATTTCAAACCCAACATAAATAGAGTCAGAGAGCTTTTCTAACACTGAGTGGTCAACTATAGTCAACTCTGCAAGATGTCACAAAGTCGGAGTGTTCAACAATGGTCAACTCTGATCTCGCATGAAATTTTCAAAGTATTAGCATTCGACTTATGGTCAACTCGGTAAAAAACATTCAACTGACGGTCAACTGACCATTTTATGCAAAACAGTTGACAGCTTTTCAGAAAAAGCATTCAACTCCTAGTGGTCAATTGATTTCGAGTATTCAGTTAACGACTAGTTGACTGCTAGTTGACGACTAGTTGACTGTCAACTAGACATTTTTGTATGGGAAATGCGCTCTATAAACTTCGAACCGTATAAAGTCGACATCCGATATACGGAAAAATTAATGCAGATTATTTTTTTCTTATTTCATTCAGGAAGAATGTACATTAAAATTATTTTTTTTTTAAAGATTTGTGTATCTAAACTAACGTAGTGATGTTACAGATGCATGAATTACGGCTGATTCGGTCAATCGTGTCGTTAATTGGATTGTTTCCTGTTGAATACGTATACATTTTAACTACAAAATATCATTAAAACATCTTTTAATTCCTTAGTTTGAATTATTCACTGTGTTTTTATTCATTGTAATTAAGTTACTTTTTTCCACATTTAAAAGTTATGTTAGGTATTGATATAAATATCTGTCTGTACATTTATGCAGAATCGTGTAGATTTAGCAATGATATTACCCAAGCTGAACATTAAGCAATTAACTTCTCAAAGACGTCTAAGGGGCTTTGGATTCACCTACAAACACAGTCTATAGAATTAATTAAGCAGGGTGCAGTCAAAACATGGGTGTGAAAGGTGTGAAATTTTGACGACGTAGAGATACCCGGAGTCATCCTATTCTCTATTGAGAAGTTGATGGCTCGTTTTAATACTCCCCCTCAACTTCTCTACGAAAGGCCTAATGAAAGCAGTTCAGAAATTGACTAAATGAAGAACCAAAACCGGGTTCCACTTCGATCGGTGTTTTAGGATCGATGCATTATCATAGACATTTTTTGGATGCACAGATGTTGTTTTGCAATGGAAATGCGATTAAAAATACCGATTCTGCTGACTTAAAAAACATTCATCACGGTACAACACTTACTTGAGATATCTGTGTCACCGGATTCGTTTATCCATTCAAAACTGCGTTTGAACCCGGTTGACTTCTAAGAAATTCTAAAACTTTTTATCCGGATAAATTGGATTAAATGTTTCAATGTTAAATAGTTATCCGGAGAAATAGTTTTAGACTTTTTTAGAGGTCAAAAAGTCTAAATCTATTTCTCCGGCAGAAGTCAGCAGAATCGGTATTTTTAATCGCATTTCCATTGCAAAACAACATCTGTGCATCCAAAATATGTCTATGATAATGCATCAATCCTAAAACACCGATCGAAGTGGGACCCGGTTATGGTTCTTCATTTAGTCAATTTCTGAACTGCTTTTATTAGCCCTTTCGTAGAGAGGTTGATGGGGAGTATTAAAACAAGCCATCAACTTCTCAATAGAGAATAGAGTCGTCCGTGCGTGACGAGGGACCCTATATGACAAACAGTTAGGTTCAGTAGAGCAGAAAATTGCCGATGTCGACACATACCAGGTAAATTTTGCTCTTGGGACTGTGAATATACGTCGAGGTAACCCGGGTTGTCGACATTACCGAGGTCGACATATCAGAGTTTTTGCAAATCATTTATATAGTAAATACTGCCGGGACCGCGGAAGGACGTCGACATATCCCAGGTTGTCGACATATCCAATGTCGAGATACCGAAGTTTACTTGTACATGCCATTTACTATACAGCTATACAATACCTCTTCATAGTTGTCTGAAGAATCTTCTGCATTTGATTTCAACGACGTGGTCCTTGATTGCGACATTTTGAATTCACTTAGGTTTCAACTGCGCTAGAAACCTGAAATTTTAAGACTTTATTGATTCTACTTACAATTCAAATTGAGATACATGCCAACGTTGATTTAAACCATATTTCTAATATCCGACAATTGTGTTTTTATTAATTGATGGTATAACAATGTCTGGAAATATCATGTGAAATGAGAAAGTAACATATCATTATCGAAAAATAGTAATTTGTTATCATTAGTAAAAAGACACATGCTTTAAACATGCTTTAAACTTATTTTCATTTTTTATCATAAGTAGTGCAACTATAAACTTTGATGATGTAAAACTGGCTATTGCTTAAAATGTTCAGTTATAAATTAAGTATATTTAGCCATTATTATTCACCTAAAAATGTAGGCCACAAATAGCATCCAAAGCACCGTTAACGATAACCTTTTCTAACTGCATTACCTATGCAACTGGGTTACACTAACTTAAGATTTACATGTTCCAATTAATTTAGCAAACGAATGCAAAGTGTATATTGTATATTCTAATTAAATCAGCAATACAATAATAGACAATAGAGGGCCTACGTTTGTTGGTATATTTATTATGAAATTGACCTGCTTAAACAGCTCGATTTTGATAATTAATTTTGTAAATATCCAAAGCATACTTTTTTGGAAAAAATGCGAGTCAAGGCAATCGTAGCCCAACGTATGAAATACATTTATGAGACTCGTCAAGTTTTACGAGATAGAAGCTGTTTGAAAACGCCTACCTTATCTGATCCAGAGAAATAAACTGTAGGTCACGTGCATAATCCTGAATCTGAGAGATTAATATTAGCATCTGTTTGCTTATATACAAAATAGATGCCTTTATTTTACGAGAGAAATATTTTGTTTGAGTTGGGCTCGGCCCGACTGGAGAAGTATATAAAGGCTCGGGTTTGTCATTCACCTTTCTTACTGCTGAACTTTTCAGCTCTAAGAAGTATTTTAATAGTGACTGTTATCCAAAACGTAGAGAATATCGTAAAGCCAAAAAATATTTCCAAAAAGTGCGTACCAACAATAATTATAGTGACATGGTTATTAAAAGAAAACAATATAAGAAGACATTGCAAAAACAGTTTGAGGACCACCAGAAGTCTTTTATATGTAAATTGCGTGGACTACGTTCAACAGATCCGAAAGCATATTGGTCTCTATTAAATAAAAAGGTAAAGGTATTATCAATACTGTAGCATTAGATACCTTTTATAAACATTTCAAGGAACTAAACAATTCTGTAGTAGATTCTGATATTGATTTGCCAAATAATTTATATGAATATATTTCAACGATTAACCAAAATATTACTGAAAAAGAGGTTGTCGATGCTATTAAATCATTGAAAAATGGTAAATCATGTAGTAGTGATATGACACTTTTTGAAGAATTCCATTAGTAAATTGATGCCAGTGTTTGTCAAAATTTTCAATATTGTCTTTGAAAGTGGAATTATACCTGAATCATGGGCTAAGGGAATTATATGCCCAATACTTAAAAATAAAGGTGACCATGCAAACCCAGACAATTATAGAGGAATAACTATACTGAATTGTTTCGGGAAACTATTTACATGTATTTTGAATAATAGGCTATCCTGTTACATAGCCAGGAGAAAAAAATTTTACTGTGCATTTATTGACTATAAAAAAGACTTTGATTCAGTTAATAGAACTCTACTTTGGCAGAAGCCTCTGCGCAGTAATATTAATGGTAAAATGCTTAATGTGTTGCAGAACTTGTGTAAAAATGCCAAATCTTGTGTAAGAAGTGATGCAAAATGCTCAGAGTTTTTTTTACGTGTAATATCGGTGTTAGACAAGGTGAAAATCTATCTTCCCTTTTGTTTTTATTATTTCTAATTGATTTGACTGATTTTTTGTCCCTTGAATATAACTGATTCACTGATGTTGATAAAATGTCTCATTTACTTTTTGATAATGATGATATTGAGGTGTTTTTTCAGTTGTATTTGTTACTAAATGCTGACGACACAGCTATATTTGCTGAAACTGCACCTGAGTTACAGTCAGCCCTGAATGCTATGTATCTTAACTGTGAAAATTGGAATCTCAAAGTTAATGCTTCAAAAACAAATGTTGTAAAATTTTCAAAAAGTAGACAACCTGAAAATACTTTTTTCATGTACAATGGTGAGAAATTATCAACTGTAGAATACCTTGGCATTATTTTTTCAAGGAAGGGTAACTTTCAGAAGAATAAATTAAGACTTGTGCAACAAGCAAGGAAAGCTATGTTTAGTGTTTTAAGTAAACCTAGAAAGCGATGTCTGCCTGTTGATATTTTATTACAATTGTTCGATGCAATGGTTGCTCCTGTTTTACTGTATGGTTCAGAAGTTTGGGGATACGAGAACAATAGTATTATTGAGTCATTACATTAAGAATTCTGTAAATATATAATGAAAGTGAAAAAATCTACTCATAATGATATTGTGCACTAGGTAGAGTGCCTTTGTCTGTATCTATAAATGCCAGGATGGTTGGCTTATGACAAAGAATTGTCTCTGGAAAAAATGTAAAGATCGCTCGAATGTTATATGAAATTATGTATAATTTTGATAAAGAGGACATTTTCCAATTCAAGTGGTTGTCACATGTCAGTAGCGTACTGATCAAATATGGTTTTGGAAATTATTGGAATGATCAATTTGTTCCAAAAAATGTTTGCCTATCTAGAAAGGTTAAAGACCAATGTAAAGAAACTTTTATATCAGACTGGAAATTAAATATTTTTAATTCTCCTAAATGTGTTCATTATAGGATATACAAAACTAACTTTGGTCTACAGAAATATTTTTCTTTGTTACCCTATGATCTTGTTTATAGTTTAAGCAAATTTCGATGTGTTAGTCACAGATTACCTATTGAATGTGGAAGTTTTTTAAATATAGATAGAGCAGATAGATTATGTGATCTCTGTAGTGTGGGAGAAATTGGAGATGAATTTCACTATATTTTTAATTGCAATTTTTTTCAATGATGAAAGAAGAAAGTACATACCTGAAAAAGTTTACAAAGTGAAAAATATCAATAGTTTTGCTAACCTGTTTAACAGTGATGATAAATTTACCTTAATTGGCTTGGCAAAAAAAAAATGTTATGTTTTTATTTCACTCTTGAAATTCCTTCCAATACCTCTAAATTAATATTGTATATATGTTATTCCTTTGTTCATTTGTTACCGTTTCATTGTTGATTTATTTCTTTTTGTACTTTTATGCCTCATGCGAGGCCACAAAGTGTAATAAAATGTTTCAAATGTTTCAAAGGTAAAGACTTGTTGAAAGTGTTGTTAAAAATTTAAGTAATTTTGCCTTGTAAATCTCAAATAAATTCATTCGTGCCATTATTGGCAGAGTAGGACATATAGTTGCGTAAAAATGGACCTGCTCCATAAAGGTTCAATTGAGTAGTAATCATGAAAAACTTACAGACACATCTAAGGCATGAATGATTGCATGTGTTTGCATCCAAAAACTGCAACATTCATAAAATGTCTGAAGAATGACTGAAAGTCTAATTCCCAAGAAGCAACATGTATGCAGAATTTATGAAATAATTCATTGCAAACTTGAAAATAGGAACTACACCAAAACACCTGTTACTACATATTCGCAAATAAAGGCCATTTGCATAATAATCATCATTATACCTTGAAGTCATAATCTTTCAAAGTTTCACAAGGAAGTTCAGGTTAGGTTAGGTAAAGGCGTTTCTATGAAAATCAGCTAATTAAAACATACAAAAGTGTTGCCTGTTACGTATACACAAAGAACGATTTAATTTATTTTCTTTTACGTTTTTATAAGTTTCTAAAAATCACTAATCCTTTGTACATTTGCATTTAAAGCACGTCATTACATTTCCAGCTCGGTTTTGCTTTCAATATGTAGACTATAAATGGAAATACAGACACATTGTTTGCTTGAAGTGATCTCTCACCTACATATATCAACACATTTGATTATATATCACATGACCCAGTTTTCATTGTTCGAAATAAATTTATCATTAAAAGAAATATGATCGAAAAGAAGGGAGAGCATATGAATTAAGACTGTAAAATCCTTAAACAAAATATCCTATTTCGAGTTAATAGGTATTTCACAACCAGCCTTTGACGAAGAATTACAACACGCTCCTGATTTCATATATTTATTCTATTATTTTTATTTCACTCTGCATAGAAGAAAAAAAATCTTATAGCAATAAGCTGATATAACTGAAAACAAACTTGTGTGCATGTGTTGCCTGCTATATTAATATTAACAATACGAATCAAGCTTAAGCGTGCTAATTCACTTTCATATTGGAATCTTTCTTCATGCATTGAATGTAACATGAAAAAAAAATCCACATATAATCAAGACTGTAATTGAATAGTATCGTGAATTTACCTGATGTATGGTCTTGACTCGGTACACTAATTCCGATTTTTTTCATTCAGCTAAAATTAGTTTATAAGTTTGATGTATATCATAGAATTTGAAAGTACAGGGGTTTAAGTAGTGAAACTATGATATTATACATGTTAGTTATCAAAGCCCTACCTCTCAAAATTCAAATTGAATGAAAGGTGCAGTATTCTTGACAAAGTAGCTTAAAAGTCAAGGTAAAGGGCTTCAGCCGATCACAGTTAATTCCATCTGAGGCATCTGACAGATTTATCAATCTGCCGGATGCCTCAGATGGAATAACGCCCTGCAATACTTTGTTTACTATACACTGATATTTCATGTAAATCTTTCTTAACATGTTAAGAACTAACGAGTATTAGTCGCCCGCGTGGCGCAGTGGTTAGAGCGTCTGTTCTAGAGTGGAAGAGTAAGGAGTAGATCCTTACGTTGCGGGTTCGAATCCACTGGAGACGAGTCCTTCAGATGAGACTGTATAAACCGAGGTATCGTGTCGCAGTGGGTTTTGGCACGAAAAAGATCCCTCACTGCTCAATGACTCTGAGTGCCGAGCATAGGTTAAAATTTGCAGCCCTCTACCGCCAAGTGGTGGCTTCTCCATATGAGTGAAAATTTCTCGAGAGGGGCGTTAAACAACATACATTCAAACGAACGAGAAATATTTTAAGTTTGATGCATTTACCATGAGATACAAACGTCTATACAGTTATAAGGTGAATAAACTTTATATGAGTAAGAATTTCATTCGGAAGAACACTTCCCTTAAGGGAGAAATTTATTCTTCCATTGGAGTTTTGGAAAGCAACAAAAATATTCAAGTCAAATCGAATTAAGAAATCGCGATTTATCCTTTTATGTCTATTTATAGTATTGTGGAATATCAGCATATTGTTTATAAAGAAGTTTCAAATCTCTCCGATTTCAGTTTAGATCATTTAGAATTTTATCGTAATCATGATTTTAAAAAAAGGGCTTGACACATCAAATACCTAGAACATAACATGAAATCACCCTCCATCTACCAATAGTGACGCTATTTCTAATTAAAGAATGTATCGATTGATTTTGCACATGGCTCATTAAGCGGGAAACATCTTAGCCCTAATTTTGCTAGAGATGTTCCTGATCATAATTACTAATCCTGTTTATAAGAAAAAAATCATTCACAAAATACGCTATGTGTTGAACTGAGCAGAATACATGCATGATTACTAAATTAAAAAAGTTTGATAGTTAATATATCTGCAAAGCTATTTTTCCTTACAAAACTTAAGCCGATCCCTCATCCCGTTTCACAAACATGTGAACATAACATCTAGCTTTCTAGTTACAAAATATCTTTAAAGGCAACATAATGTGGGCATACTGCTCTATATAACAATTGTTCTTCAATTTAAATTTGGTATGTGAAGAGAAGCATTTTAAAAGGGTTATTCTTTCAAGGTCATACTCAGTTGAGAAATAATGTGAAATGGTACACCCGACAGACCTGTTCTCAAAAAATTACATAGATATTGTCAATCAGAAACTCGAGAATCTTTATAATATCACCTTAAGAGTGCTTGTTTGTACAATCAGAATGTTTTTTTAACAAAACAATTTTGCAAAGGACCAAAAAGGTAAGAATATTTACGAGTTCCATTTTAATTAAAAACGCAGCTGTCTATGATGTCAAATGGCCTGGACCTCAATTTATCGTTGGGAATTATAATATTTATCTATCGTAGAAGTCCATGCAGCATGAAACATTCAAACCCCTTTCTCATTTTGGTAAGTGAACAGTTTTTACAGTCAATATTAATATTTATATATCCTTACATCAATAAAAATCTAATATTCGATAAATAAAACTATCAGCCCGTCTCCAGGCAGCCTAATAAAGAGAAGGAAACGGGTAGATTAGAATGTTATTGCATATCTCAAATATATTTATGCATACCTACATGAACGTCGACTATGAGCAGTTTTCCTCCATTACATGTTATGTAAACTGCGTATTAAAAATGTTATTGTCGGTAACCAGTCGTGCGTGTGCAAAGAATCTACAACCCTCTGCATTGAATGTAATTGAGAAGATTCTGTCAACAGCGTATAAAACATGTCCTATTTCACAAAGGGGGAAACATGTCAGTGCGTTCACACCCACAACAAAAATCCAACTCCGAATTTATCCAACAAACCAAAACAAAAATGCAATTTGTAGGAATGGGTATCGCCAAAGAAAAAAAAAACATTAGGGAATGTAAAAAAATATATGAATAATTCCTATTCCTCTGATTGGCCGTAATGCAACAAAATAGAAAAAAATTACTATGTTATATTCACCTGCATGTGATCTTTCATATGAAAATGTGAATATATAAGGATGAATTTTCTCTACTTTGGTCTTGAAACAGATTGGGAAATTCCAAAATGATACAAATATACACTGGGAAAAGTGGCTTACATGATATTCATGTGATTATCTTTTTGTTTGAAAATTATGTGAAAATCATGTAAAAATTATATAAATATTTTGTCATGCGAATATCATGTGAATAAGTTTGTGTGGTATTCAAATATATATATTTTTTAGAACTTTCATGTGAAGTTTTCTCTGCACGATTTTTATGCGATATGCTCTTCATGTAAAATTCATATGAAAGTTAGGTCAAAATGGCTTAAAGTTTTCACATAATTTCACATGTCTTGTTTTTCGTCTCTCTCTCATGCAAAGAATTTACATGAAATTCATGTGAATTTCATATAAAATTTATGTAAGCCACTTTTGCTTGTGTAGTCTCTCTGAGGTTGTCTTTCATCTCTCTGTATAGCTTGCTGCTCTTTAATAAAATTTATCAGATCTGAATCTTGAAGACCTAAGCTCCCCCCGAATAATTTCAACTCATTTAAATCATCCATTTTGGAGATAAGTAACACATGTGACAAAACAATCAATGAAGCGGAACGAAATGCAAACTTGATCTATAACTCATCATGGTAAAGTTACACACCAAAAATCAGCTCAATATCTGCAAGCGTTTAGTAAAAAAAATGCGGAAAACCAAGCTGGACAGACTGACAGACAGATAGAGGGACAGACAGACAGACAGACAGACGGACGGACAGACTCAGAGGAAACCTATAGTCCCCTCCGGTTTCACCGGTAGGGGACTAAATAACACATTTAAAAAGAAGGGGTTCCCTACGGGATATTTTCCTTAAAAATTAAAATACATTACCAAAAGTATGATAGGATGGTTCTAATGTGACAATATCTCTATAAATAGCATTTATCTCTCTGATAAACAAATCATTCAAAGTAGCCCACAGCGCAACATCGACGACGTCAAAACGTAGCTTATGGAGTTTTTTGAATTTGTTCAGGAATTGTGCGTCTTTAAAAATTTGTTCGAAGCAGAAATTCAATACTGCATTTGATTTTCTTTCAGTTACCGAGTTATACATTTCACAAGTACTACAGTTAAGAATAAATCAAGGGAATTAATTCTTTTAATGGACAATTTTCCAAATAAACTTAACTGCTCGCATAGTTATCGGCGGTCTCCACGTATGATGTCCAGCTCTAGACGTTTTAGTTTGTCGTCATTTTCGTTGGTGTACCAAACGCTTCTTCCTTTGGATAATCAGTCAATCCATCTTTGTACCTCTTTTAGTATGTAAAAACCAGTGTTCGATACATGTATTTCTGTCGTTCCTTCGTTCCAGCTCGATCGTTCACGGTAGCTCAGTCGGTAGAGCGCTCGCTCCGTGATCGGGAGGTCGTGAATTCGAATCTCGGGCGCGACTGACCTAAGTCGATAAAAAATGGGTAGCAACTGTTCCTTCGCCATGTGCTCGGCACTTTGAAGTGAAAGTTGCTGGTCCTTCGGATGAGACTTTAAAAATATATAAATAATTCGAATCTCGGGCGCGACTGACCTAAGTCGATAAAAAATGGGTAGCAACTGTTCCTTCGCCATGTGCTCGGCACTTTGAAGTGAAAGTTGCTGGTCCTTCGGATGAGACTTTAAAAACCAAGGCCCCTTGTCACGGCAGGCGTTGGTACGATAAAGATCCCTCACTGCTCAATGGCCCTGAGTGCCGAGTAAAGGTCAAAATTTGAAGCCCTTCACTGCTATATGGTGACGTCTCTCTATGAGTGAAAAATTCTCGAATGGGACGTAAAACAACAAACAATCAATCAATCGTTCCAGCTCTTTTTCCGTGTTAACAGGAGTCATACCCTGCACCACACAGTACTGAATGATAATTTGGTGCGCCGCATTATCACAGGACGAACATAACTAATATTTTTTGTGCGGGTATGTTAAGGAAGCATACAAATCATTTCTCGAGAAATTTAGACTTTTTAAAGAAAATTAAGATTGATAATTTGTCAAAGTCGTCGATAAAACGTAAACTATTATTAACTATTATATAAAGACACGGTGTGTCTGAGGCCAAGTAGTGCATCACCTCGACGTCATCACGTGACTGCTATAAATAGCAAAATATTCCTTAATAAAAAGTTCACAGAACAACAATACTCCGGGGTTTAATAATTTCTTTGAGTAAATAATATAGTTGAAAGACATCTCTTATGCCTAAAAAGTGCTGCTAGAATCCCACTGTCCGGTCGGGAAAATAATTATTCCACATATTTGCACGAAACCTTACCCGATGTTTTGCATTATATACATATAACCCGAAATATTTCTTCAAACCATGTTTACCTCACGATTCTAGCGGCACTTTCCAAGTATTTTAGAACACAAGCTTTCAATATGTATAAATCTTATGTTTTTAAATATCCAGCTTAGTGTTGTTCTTTGCATTATTGTTGTCACGAATGACAGAGGAAAGACCAACTGAGATACGTAAATAGCTGACTTTCTTCAATAGAAGATATAATCGATGAAAATAAATCAACATACCTGATTAACAAACTTTAACTTCACATGAATAACACATATTATTCACGGTATTTGCTTCTAAACCCCATTTTACGTATCTTTTTACATGCCGTCTTAGCCAAATTATCGTTACACAACATGA